GAAATGTCTGATCTCTGTGATTGCCAACAAGGGTTTTGTCACCAAGTACTAAGTCGAAGGGGTCAAATACTTACTTCCCTCATTGACATGGAAATCAATTTATAACTTTTTTGACATGCGTTTTTCTGTTTTTTGTTATTCTGTCTCTCACTGTTAAAATACATCTACCATTAAAATTATAGACTGATCATTTCTTTGTCAGTGGGCAAACGTTTAAAATCAACGGGGGATCAAATACTTTTTTCCCTTACTGTAGGACAGCTTGAGAGATCACTGACATGTCATCTATTACTCCATGTGAGCAGAGGTTAAAAAATAAGACTGGATCATGATGTTGAGTTCATGCCTTACATTTTATTTTGAAACTTTAATTGCAGGGTTGTAGAGCGGTGTGGCTAAAGGTGTGGGATCCTTTTGTTTGGTTGTTCTTTTAAGGACATATTTATCTTTTCTTAACCCACACGTCATAGTGATGATGCATTTGCCTGATCTCTCACCTGCTCTTCCTTGATATCAATTCTACAGGGAGCAATGTGAGAACCAATAAGTGTACAATTACAGACTTAATTATAAAGTGGAATAAATAAATAAATATTACTAACCTTTTTAAAAACTCCAGTATTGCTGTAAGGTATGAGATTATTTTAGAAAGAATGCTAGTTTTACAAATTCCCAGTAATTTTCTACACCAAGTAATGAAAAAAAAAGGTTCATAAGAATATACCACCTCACTTCAAAACTATTTGGAATCACTAAAAAAAAACAACAATTCAATAAAATAAGAATAATTTTTTTTTATAAACTATTTGGAATCAACGCATGATTGATGTTCAGATTGTGCGCTTGAGAGTTGTGAGACATTGTGCAAGTGGGCAAATTTAAGCTGGCATGGCCACTTATACTTTTAAAAGATTTCAGCTGCAATATCGACGACAAGCCTTCTAAACCAGTATTAAATGATGAGCAACTATTTCCAGAGGATTGTAGTTTATATATGGTACAAATCGAAAACTCACATTTAAAATATATATTTAATAAAAATTCCTGACTTTCTCTGTTCTATTCTCTATGTACTGCTGCACTAAACCTAATCTAAGAGCAAAGAAAATCCATTATATCTATTAAAACAAACTGGAATTACACATGGACAGACACCTTTGTGTTCTCTATGTGCTTTTAAGAGGCCGATTACACCTTTTATAGTTAAACAGCTCTCTACTATTATAGTTCATAACTGTAAGGCTGATTATTTGAAACCAGGATGTTTTTTTCAGGTGGAATAAACTTAGCAATGACTCATGTATTCATGTACATTTAATAAGTGTTATTAGTAATATTGGTGTCCCTAGTAGTCATAGATTTAAAAAAAAAAAAAAAAAACTAGCAGAGAACTGAAAAGAACATTATAGACACCCAGAACACTTTATCTCAATGAAGTGGTTTTGGTGCCATGCCCCTGTCGTTTTAACCCTGCAGTGTAAAACATTGCCATGCTGCAGGAAAGACAATGTTTACATTGCAAGGATTACATACCCCAAGTGGCTGTAATTCTGACAGCCACTAGAAGCTCTTCCGTCGAAATAGCCAAGTGAAACTCCGCTATATCAATAAGTTAGTCTAATAGAGACCATCCTTGGGGAAGGCATTGCATTGGCTGAGATCATCAGTGTTGATGAGTTCAGCCTTGGAGACAGAACAGCAGTGTGGAGATGGGAGCTGCAAGGGAAATTGGAAATGGCTTTTTTGTAGAATCATGGGGGAGGGGTTATTCACTTAACTACTTAGAAGGGCATAATAGCATTAGAATTACATGTTTGCATTCCTATACTTACCTATGCCCTTGTCTCAATATTAATTATTACTATCACAGTATTTAGTATTCATCATATCTCAATACACTAGTAGTCAGATCAAGCAGTCATAATATACTATAGATTTAAGTCTATGTGCCTTGCTACATGTTGCCCAAGTATCCACTTAGCACAGAGTGGATATGGTAACAATACTGATATTGCAGCCTACTTACTTTCAAGCATCTTCCGACACACGCTGATAAAACAATCAGGGTGTGTGCACTACAGTGTGAGAAACGTGTTGGGACTGCATTTACAATCCCAGTATGAAAATAAGCAGCTGTTGACCTCAAAGAAGCAAAAGGAAATTATATATTTATTTAATATACGGGGTGTGCCAATGAGAAAAGATGCACACACCTAATTTAAAATCCTATGACAAATCCTCCCATTACATTTACTATATGATTTATGTGCAAGAGCTGACATGTTGAATATACTAAGGAAGAACATAATTATACAGACCGAAGTGAAACTAATTCTATCATTATTACTCCTCTGACTTTTTTTTTTTAGTATAATTTGAAGGTCATGTCTGTATGAAGGCTTTGGGGGAAAAATAACCTTCTATCTATCCATCTGCCTTGCTAAGATTAATTTAAAGTTCAAATGACCATCGTGCTTCCTGTTTGGAGGTTGTGCATTCCGTTTTCCTGTCTTTTTGCGCAGTTTTTTTTTTCTATTATTCATTATTTATGATGGCATCAAAGTTAAAACAAGAATAAACAGAGATTATAGAGATTATAAGAGTAAAGTTCTATACATATGCCATTTTACGATTGAATAAATGACCCAAAGAAGAAAAGGGAAAAAGAGAAGGAAGAAAGTTATGAAAATGAGGGAGAATGAGTAAACTGCATTGATCCACCAATTGGATGACTACCTGTATACTCAAGCATTCTTTATCTGTTTTGTTATTTTTGTTACTTTCTGCGTGTTTTGAAGTTGGTAATTGCTATTCTACATTGTAGACTTCATCCATGTATGACACAATGCACCATTGATGGAACTTTGAAAAAAACGCTTTTTTACCCACCATTTATTTTACCTGTAATTGTATTTTTTCTGAATTCCCTGTAGCAACGAGATGGAGCAGTCTGAAATATCGAGAGTAGAGTGCATTTATGTAATATTGAAAAGGCTACAGATGTTGTGATGGCTTAGAGATCGTGTGGTTCCAGCCATTGTGCTGCTCTCTTTATGTCGTTGTTATTATAGAGTTTGTGTTTGCTTCTATCTTGGGATTGCTCAAGTGTCTTGTTTAGGAGCCTAATGTTCCTGATACGCTCAGAATTTAATGTATAGTTGTTCTCATTGTTTGAAGGAATTGAAAATGATTCTTCATATATCCAAATTATTGTGTTGGCTGGATCACAAAGGATCATAATTTCTTCAGATTTTCTTTAAGTTGCATGGGGTTTTTATATTGATGTTTTGCTGGCAATGGCTCATTGATTAGGGTCCTCTAAAGAACTAATGTATATTTGTGCATTGGCCTCATGTAAGCATTGAATTAAATCAGAGGGGAAGTGAATCAAATGCAATTTAGCTGTCCTTGTTTAATTGTTTTTCAAGCAGAGTGTCTGTAGGGTCCTAATAGCTCTTGTTCAAATGATCAGCAGATGGTCCAATTTGCCAATGTTGGAAATACATTGAGAAGTATCAATGCACTAATCTAGAAGGTGCCTCGTCCCGCCAAAACCTCCACAGTTTCAGTGATACAGTTTGGCCTCAAAGGGCCAAAATTCATAATCCATTTAGATGAGTTTGGAGATGTATGAAAACTGTTGTGTTACAAGGATATATCTGTTATTTGTCTGAACCTAACCTGGTCACTTCAGTCAGCATTTGCTTTTTCCAGTTAAGTATTTGCACTCTTCAGTTCTATATGAATCTTGTGATGGTTAATGGTTTTACCAGGCCTGCTGACCAGAATTCCAGATGTGATTTTTTACTGAATGAACCATTTTATGTATAAAAAATCAGGTTGGTCACACCCAAAACGGAAATCCTGATCTGAAATGCAACGCAAATCTTCTCTATGTGAGACAAACAAACCAGTCATTATGTCAGAATCTCACAGGCATCATAACTGAAATGAAGATGTAGATGTGGAATGTGCTATTGACTTTTGAGATCCATTCTCTGTCTCCATATCTTTTGGTGATGCTGATAAAGGGACAAGTTAAGGAAAAGGTAATCTTTGTGTGCCTGTTTTAATTTTAATTTTTTTTATCATCCATCTTGATCAAGCTGATATCTTGCTGCAAAGAGAATCCAGTTAAAAACTCACCAATCCCTCTAACACATTGTTGTTATGCAACACACATACATATAACGCACTTAGTAATGGAGTTGTCATGTCTGAATCAGCTGGGAAACAATTGTGGGAATATGTGGCTCTTTGTCTTCGTATATATAGAAGAATATACAGAATGTCCAGCACGAACCTCAAGTGCAATGATCATTTATTCAAGGTGCCAAGATAAAAGGTGACATTTTGGCCACTCTTTATTTTCATAAGTTTCATCAGATGATATATGTATAAGCTGTGTGAAAGCATAACAACCTGTAGTTCAGGTACCATTAGAATACAGATTCAGTAAGTAAAACAAGGGTATCGCAATGTAATCAAAATGAACCGGGGATTTAGTAACCTGGACTGTGACTCAGGGGGCTTCAGTCGCCTATGAACTGTATGCAGAATTCTGCATGTTTGCATAACAATACTGTTGTGTTTTTTGCCCTTGTATATAGAGCAAAGCCACATAAGCCACCATGAGACTATTGAATACATATACATAGTATTCACTGTTATTTTCTTATGTAGCTTTTTAGCCATGGACCATTTGCTTAGTCAAGAGATAATATATGTCTGCTTTATCTTCTGATAGAAGATAAAATATTGTTCATTCTGTTATGAGCAAATGCAAATATTACAAGTTTTAGAATGAAATGTATATCTTAAACTGTGTACTTTGTCTTTAAGAGATATTGCAAACTGACAAGGTGTTAGAAATGGAACATATTGTTTTTCATAACTGTTTCTTTAAGCAATAACCTCTTACTTGCCTTCAGTGCATAATAGGTTTACGCCATTTTGTCCCAGACGAAATACAATAACAATAATGCATAAACAAGCTTCAAGGCTATACTACGACTCTTTTTCAGTAAACAATATACTGTGGTAACCCCAAGTAGATAAGGATGTTCAGACTGTAAGATGCCATCTTGAACTAAGTCAGGAAAATTTCCATGACGTATGCACCCTTTAGTTATGGCCTTGTATGTTTGCCAAGTTAAGGGCGGTCCTAAAAATGAATAAAGTAAAAGAAGTGTTACTTTTTCATATATGAACTACGGTTACCCTAAAATGGAGACACCTAAGGTATAAATAGGTGTACTTTTAAAATGTTAAGAAACAGAGGAGAGACTTGGAGACAGACGCTGCTCCATCTTAAAATGCCAGAGAGGCTGACATGATGACATGTTCAGAAGGGTATGTTAACCTATTGATGATATTTGCAAGCATTTAGTTTAATATTATAAACTCTGCTATAATGGATTTTAAAAGTCTATATTTATATTTTTATAAAATAAATATCTAAAAGACAAAACTTTATTGCTTCCAAGACAATCCTTATTTTATATTGTAAAAACCAAAGAAAAACAAGTTACCTGCGCTCTCTCCTTAATGCCTATGTATTTTTAAACAAATTGAGTTTTTTTTAGTTACCTCCAATGGCCATGAGAGGATAAGCCCACCTGCCAACGTCAAGGCAGACCACCCCAGGTGGGTCCTAACTCTAACCATTCACCTTGCTTCCTTGAGCTTCTGGCAAAGATCTCTAATGAGACAGAAAGGGGTATTTTTTATATACACCCCTATATATTATTAACCCTTAATAGGGAACACATGGGATGGGCGGCTACATTGTAAAAAATGGATGCAAATGCAGAAAGATAAGTCCTGCGCTCACTCCCATCACTGGGCGTCAGCAATGACTACAGTACACATCAGCCCCAATATATAGTAAAAACCAAAGAAAAACAAGTTACCTGCGCTCTCTCCTTAATCCCTATGTATTTTTAAACAAATGGAGGTTTTTGAGTTACCTCCACTGGCCATGAGAGGATAAGCCCACCTGCCAACGTCATGGCAGACCCCCCCACCCCCCCGGTGGATCCTAACTCTAACCATTCACCTTGCTTCCTTGAGCTTCTGGCAAAGATCTCTAATCTTTATATTATATATGTTAAATAGAGGATCTCTTACACTAACTATATAAAATTATGGCTAAGATATCTGTATGGTTAGCCCTACTAAGTTCTATGCTTTAAGACGTTATAGTGGTAAATAAGGGAACCGGCAGCGTTACAATTTATTCTATAAACATACACATAATTTTGTTCTTTATTTTAAAGTTTACCACCATTGAAACATTCTCAATATCTGCCTTATTAACCAATTGCACCATCCTTACAAATACAAGAACGCTTTCAAGATCTGCTCAAGTATTTTAAACAAAAAAATGGGTGGGATGCAAACAGAGAAGATAATATTTTTATTGAATAGTTTCCTCTCTTCCTTACACAACAGTATGACCTTTACATACCCTTTAATAGTGCGTAAATTCTGAGTCTGTTTTTCAGTCTGTTCCTTGACCCTACATCCTATTGTACTAAAACAGCCCCCATATATAGCTTTAAGGAGATATTATATGGAAGGAAAAGCAAAGGAGTGTCAAAGCAGAAAATGAAGAGTATTAAATGGAGTATTTAATTTATTGTTGAAAAGTTCAGAGGAGTAAAAATAGAAAGTTTCTTGAATGCCCCTCAACCTACAACAAAACTATTAGAAGATCACCTCAAACTTATTAGATTCACATTGACAAAAATATTTAGAATGGAGTCACCAAGTACAAATAAAATAAAAATAAAACTCTAACTTTATCTTTGGGAGACTCATAGCTGTTCATCTAGATCAGGGTTAGTCAACGTTTCTATACCACCTTTTTATACCTACCGCCCACTAATGCATCTTTCTTGATGGAAACATTTCCTTACCGCCCACCAGTGCTGCAGGAACTCAATTTTTTTAGCGCAAGTGTGAAATATTTTTAAGAAAGGATGGTTTTTAAAAAAATATGCACTTAAAATTATCTTTTTATTTCTGTTTTATGCATGTTTATAATGCTTTTAACGTTATGAAGTAAAACGTGAAAACAATAAAGTAAATAGAAATTACTTTTAACTGGTGATAAATTAGATCCTTGAGGCTGATGCTGCAGACTAAATATTTGATATCTGGTTCGATTTTCGTAAGGAACAAACGAATGTCTCCTCTTTTGGTGATATTCAGACAGTTTCTCTGTTTGCTCATAATATGATTAACAGCACTAAATCCTGATTGTACAAGATATGTGGTAGGGAAATGTATCAATAAATTGAATATCATTATCCACATACTTGGATATAACGCAGGCATTTTTTAAATTTTGCCAGAGTTTTTGGTATCCACCGCTGCCGAAATTACATTTACTCTCTTTGTCATATTTAAGTTCTAATATTTCTTCTTGGTAAGTTATATCAACCTCAGCAACAGTTGCTGTAAAAGGATTTATCATCCTTTAAGTTCAAAATATCTTGAAATCGTTTTTCCATATCCAATTTGAGTTCATTGAGGTGGCTACTGAACCTTTCAGTGTGCCCCGGAGTTACATCATCGTTTATAGAGGACGATTCAGGAAACTGATGAAATTCTCTCTTGAAAATATTATGACGGAGAAGATCAAGCTTTTTGATAAATAATGACACAATATTTTTGCAACTTAGAAAAATTATATTGGCTCCTTGAAGCTGCAAATTAATTTCATTAAATCTCTTGAAAATGTCTGCCAAATAAAAGGCATCATTCTTTATGGTTTTTAACTGTTCATAAAGACCAGCCTCATTATTACTTTCAAAAATCTGTATGACACTATCATATAATGCAACAAAACGAGACAAGCATGTACCCTTTGAGAGCCATCGAACTTCTGTGTGTAAAAGTAACCTAAAAAACTGCTCGTTATTGTCAATCCATCTGGACCATCCAGGTTTGCACGGCACTCATCAGTGAACAGGACTGTTTGAAAATTAGTCTTCATGTAATTTTCTGCCCAATGCAGCAATTTCTGCTTGTGAGCATTGGTTAGTGGTGGCCGAATAGAAGGTTTATGCACAGTTGCAAGACTCTGGAGGACTCTACACCTTGATGTCCGTGGGATTCCAGAGGCACTAGCAGCTTCAAATATCTGTTTGTTTCTATGTAATGGTATTTTAGCAGCTGCTCTCTTGATCCAATGCATGGATCTGGCAGAAATCTTCCTCAATGTGCCTTTATCTGCACGAACCCGTCTGTGCTCTGATTCAGCCACAAATCTCTTAATAGTGCGATGGTCACGCTTAAGTTTTTGTGAAATATCTAAATTTTTCATACCTCGTCCAAGGCATTGAACTATTTCACTCTTTTCAACAGCAGAGAGATCCTTTTTCTTCCCGATAGTGCATGAAAATGGTGCTCTGCTTAATAATGTGGAACAACCTCCTTTAGTAGTTTTTTCCTTAAATCACCTGGCAATCTAATTATCACAGGTGTCCGTGTTTGTTGTCAGTGATCAAAAGAGCCCTGAGACACAATGCCTTCCCTGAGTTAAACTGAAAAACTAAATATTTAATCTTTGTGACACTTAAATAGAATTTGCATAATAATTTGTAACAGGGTGTAGTGTTCCTTTAAATATTGATAATCCTTTTGTATCTGTAATCAGATTGACAGTGAATAGCATTTCTTCTTGCAATGTATTGTTTTCATCAAGGTACCGTACATATGTCATCAGTAGAGCATTATTATCTGCAATAACAGACTCATCCAATTGTATGGAAAATGAAGAATTTTGGAGAATACCTATAAGTTTTTTTTCAACATTAGCTGCCATTTCGTCAATGCGTCTCTTTACTGTGTTATCGCTAATGGGCAATGTTTTTAAAACTTCAGGTATATCCTGATGCATTAGCTAGGCATGTGCATGGGGAAAATTTTCTGTTCTGCATTCCAAAATTTGGGACTTCGGCAATTCGGAACTTCGGCAACTTCGGCACTTCGACACTTTGGAACTTCGGAATTTCAGAACTTCGGCATTTCGGAATTTCGGGACTTCAGCACTTCGGGCTTTTCTTGCAGCCGCTTAGTAGATAACTCCCTAATTCCCACGGTATTAGGGAGTTATCTACCAAAAGGCTGAAAGACCTAAGTTGGTCTTTCAGCCAAATTAACTAATACTAAGTCAAAATTACTTAGTATTAGTAAATTTGGCCCCTACTCGCTATACTGCGAGTAGGGGCATGTCTATTAAACAGTCTGTGGCTGCTCACTGTTAAAAAAAAAAAAAAAGGTCCCCCCTCCTGAGCCTTCCGAGCCCCCACCCGCTCAGGGACCTATTGCCCCCCTGTCCCCCACCCCTGAGCGGCGGGTGGGGGCCCTAAAGTAAAATGATGGGGGGGGAGCTAATGTCCTGAGCGGCGGGTGGGGGCCTTAAATCAAAATAAAGGGGGGGACCTATTGTCCTCCCATCTGGCCCCCACCCCTGAGCGGTGGGTGGGGGCCCTAAATACCAATTAGGGGGGGCCTAATGTCCTCCCCCCCTGGCCCCCACCCCTGAGCGGTCAGTGAGTGCCCTAAATTAGAATAAGGGGGGACCTATTGTCCTCCCTTGCCCCCACCCCTGAGCGGTGGGTGGGGGCCCTAAATAAAAAAATTAACCCCCCTTACCCTCCTCACCACACATTCACATACTGCTCCCACACACACATTACCCCCCATACACACATTGCAGCCCCACATACACTGCCCCCACATACACTGTACCCCACACACACGCACTTCCCCCACACACACACTTCCCCCACACTTCCCCGACACACACATATACACTGCCCCCATACACACACTGCCCCACACACATATACACTGCCCTCCCATTCACACACTGCCCCACACACACATACACAGCCCCCCATACACACACTGTCCCCACACTGCCCCCATACACACATTGCCCCACACACACAAACGCCCACACATTGCCCCCCACACACATACACAGCCCCACATACACACATTGCCCCCCACACACACACACTGCCCCACTGAACCTTTCACACACACTGCACCCCTCACACATTGCACCACTCACACACACACCCTATACACACACTGCCCCCACACACACATACACTGCCTATCCATACACACACTGTCCCACACACACATTGCCCCAAACACACCTACACATCCACACACATATACACTGCCCACCCGTACACACTGCCCCACACACACACACACAGCTCCCCATACACATTGCCCCACACACACACGCTGCCCGCCCACTGCCCCACACACCCTACACATTCACACACTGAAATTTTCACACACACTGCACCCCTCACACATTACACCATTCACA